CCCCCCCCCCCCCCCCCCCCCCCCCCCCCCCCCCCGCCCCCCCCCGCCCCCCCCCGCCCCCCGCGGCGCCCCCCCCCCCCTTAATTTAGCATGAAAATTTGATTTTAGTAATTTGATTCAAGTAAAGGAAACACGAGTGACGTGAATAGTCTTAGTATCTCAAGTAAAGTATCATCATCTGAGGAGTGTCATGAGCTTTAGCTGGATGAGGGGTGTCATATGCACGAAATCCGAAAAGACTATAAATGGAAAAGTACAGAAAAATATTTTATTCTATGTGGGGTCGGTAATTGATGCAGAACGAAAATTTAACTTCGGCGTGAAACGGGATGAAGGGGAACGAGAGGTATCAGAAGTATCCTTTTCTTCACGAACAAACAATAACAGGTGGAAAAGAACATATGTCAACAATTTTCTGGAAATTATATTTGCTAGGGGTTCTTGAGAACCATCACCCCCACTCACATTAAAAAGAATGGGAGTGGCGGAATCATAGGGAGTGGGAGTAATTCACCCACTCGTTTTTTAATGAATGTGAGTGGTTAATATTGCTGATGTAACAGGCCTACTTAGAACTATGAAATGTCGCATTGAATAAAGGTCATTCTGCGAGAAGCACAAAATATTTTCTCTTTTGAAAAATAAGGTTTTTATTCAAGAAGTTTATTTGTTGCTAGAAAACTCTGAAAACGCACTTTTGAGGAACTGGCGGACTCGACGAAGGACATGTTAGGCTATCACACCCATGTGTTTTTCTAAAAATCGTTATATTTTTTTTTCTGACAAAAATCATTATGTCTGGGCTATGTTATAGATATGACTATCACAAATATTAATAGTCTTCCAAATGAAATTGTATTAGAAATATTTGAATATATTCCTGCACTGGATTTGTATTGTTCATTTTTTAATTTAAATAGCCATATTAATTCTATTCTTTATAAACTTTATCAATGGAAAATTGACTTATTTTTGATATTTCCTCGAGATTATGATTATCTTTGTCAACATGTTCTACCCCCATTTCGGGAACACATATCATATTTGAGAATAAAAACAATTATAGATTTTCAATCACAATTTCAATTAAAGCAATTTTTTTGTTAAAAATCATTGATATTACCCGCATGTGGTAACAGAAGATTCCGTAATTTTCTACCTGTCATAGCCCAACTTGAACATTTGGTGTCATTGTCACTATTGAATTGTTCAAACGATACATATAATTATGGACAAATATTATTCGTACTTCCAAAACTAACAAGATTAACATTATCCGGTTATCATTTTATTCAATTGTCATTCAACCTATCATTAACCATAGCATCAAAATCAAATTTAGAATATCTAAATATTTCTCCATGTTCTTTACAATGTCTTCATCATTCAATATTACGTTATATACCAAAATTAAAATACTTAAACGTGCATATACCACAATGGTATAGCGATATTAATGATATGTTACCATTGCCTTCAATATCAACGTTGATCTATTTAAAGTTGAATATTCGTCGTCAACTGAAACATAATATAATTAGAGAATTATTAACATCATTTGTCAATTTAAAATATTTTTCATTTTTAGCTTTTGATGTTGAATTTATGAATAATCGTTTATGGCAACAGTATTAGAGTTTATTTTTAACACTACGAACGATAATAATCATTCAAAAAAAAGATTATGTACGTAAAAGAAAACCTACGTTCACAGTGTATTGTGTTTTTGTATATGTTCTTCGATGATATTATCTAGTCGTACCGGGTGTCGATGACTTTTATACAAGACTTTTTCTGCAAATGTGTGGATCTATTTTATTCGAAAGAGTGTAAAACGCTAATAAAAGGATATCGTTTAAAAGCTTTTAAAGCAATGGCTCGGTATCTGCGATGAGCCTGACATTTTGATTTTTATTGAATTCAGTTGTAGCCCGAATCCAATTGTATGATAACAATAAAGAATTACTTTCCATACTGATTAGTGGAAAATCCACACATATTATTAATATGAGGATAGATCTATAATAAATTACTGTACGGTCGAATTGTTTTACGTTTACAACTTACGAATGCTGCCAATATAGACTATCACAAAACTGAGACCAATAAACGTAAGATATACACACAGTTGACTAAGAACTGGATACATTATTAAAATAGGCAAGTATTTGAGTGTGAAAAAAAGATCGGCTATCAATACTGCTAAAAAGTAAATAAGACATAGATTTTTTCTCAGCGATTTTCGTATAAATATCGCAAAATTTAATATTCCTACAATAGAGCACACGATAAATAGTTTATGTTCATGTAGATATTATTCACAACAAGATAAAAGCAAATACGATAAATATATTCGCAATATACATCAAACATGAAGTCAATCGAAAAATAGTGTCTGGTTTTCAAGAACTGACTTCCTGTTTGGTGTATGTTGTGAATATATTTATCGTATGCGCTTTTATCTTGTTAAGAATATTATCTACGTAAGCATAAACTATTTATCGCGTGCTCTGTTGTCGAAAATTTAAATTTTGCGATATTTATATGAAAATCACTGAGAGAAAATCTATGTCTTATTTACTTTTTAGCAGTGTTTATAGCAGAGATCTGCACGGGCTGAAAAGTTTTGACCCGACCCGGCCCGATGATGAAAGTTTCCGGATCAGGTCCGGCTCGGCCCGACTAAACGTAGAATTTTTTTGGCCCGGCCCGATCCGACTATTTTGCGTGATTTTCTTCTTGCATCTGTAATGCTTTTCTGGCTACGCGATGTAGATGTATTTCTCAAGCTAATATTTTATGATTTCTCCGTACTGAGTGTACACATAAATTACAAATCAACGCATGCTTAAAAATTCTAAGTTCGGCCCGGCTGACCCGATCAAAATACTTTGTGGCCCAAGCCCAGCCCGGGCCGACCACTCTGTAAAATTTTCTGGCTCAGCCGGGCTCGATCCGTGCTGATCTCTGGTTTATAGTCGATCTTTTTTCCACACTCAAATACTCGCCGATTTTAATACTGTATCTAGTTCTTAGTCTAGATATTTTGTTCCGCTGAATATCCTGAGCTGTTAACATTGCGCTCATTTTCAATGCTTCTGCAATTGCCTCTTCTGCTGACATGTTGTTGGTTGCAAAATCAAGAGTTTTTAGTCTTGGGTTCATTTGCAAGGCTTTTCCACTCACTTTTGCCCATTCTGGGTAGATATTGTTGTTCTGAATTTTCAGAGTTGTTAATGTTTTGTTCATTTTGAATGCTTCTAGAGTGGATTTTGCTTCTTCTGCTGATATACTGGTGAAGTGATTTGTTATGCGGGATTTTTCGATCATACTGATTTTGTAAGTAATGATTTTTTGTAATGTTATGTTGTAATCTGATTGTAGAAGTTTAGATGTTGAATAGAAGTATAACAATGCAGTGTCGTTGTCGTGGTGTGTTTCGTAGATACAGCCGATCTGGAAATACGTTTCATCAATTAAGCTATAATCAGCATCTAACACTTTGCGTACTGCTTGAAAATGATCTAAAGCCAAATTGTTCCAGTCTTGTTGCATTTAAGCAGTACCGATGTAATAGTTAATCTCGCTGGTTAATGGACGATTTACTAGTCGAGTTTCTGAACAAATATGAATAGCTTGTTGAAATATATTTATTCCAGTGTCATATTCGTTGTGCTCAATATAAATTTGCCCAATTTAATTATGTATGCGAACAGTATCGAAATCGCATTTGAAGTGCCCTGTTGAAATAGTCTAATTCATCATTGAAGTTTGTTTGATTTTTATGTACTAAGCCGATTTTAAAATAAACCGTTGCCTTTTAGGAACGAACTATGGTAAATGTTGCTCACATGAGACTTGAACAACAAAATTCCAAAGCTTTGGCAGCCTATTTTTTTAAACAAAGTGTAAAAAATTTTCTTGAAAGCCGCGTGTTTTCTTGTTCTGAGTTTTGTGCGTCTCGACGGCCTTTTTTCTTAAGAAATTAGATATTAGTCGAAGCAGCGGGCAAGCAGGAAGCATGTACTAAAAAATCACAGCGGAAACTGGTTTTCTGCTCCGATTTTCATGTTGAGTATGAATATCAAAGGGGAAACAGCTGATTTTTGAATTTAAAAAACCGGTTTAAATCGAAAATCGGCAAGAATCGTTAAAATCGCCAAAAATTGGTGAAAATCTATAAAAATCAGAAAATCACTCACAGTTGGTGTTGTTTATTAACAGAAGAGAATTCAACGTTGTCTGCTGATCGTTTACCTCGCCTAATGCAAATGAACAAAAAATAACATTAACATTTCTTGATCGTCTTTTCCTTTACTTTCACTATGTCTGATTCTTAAAAAGTCGATGAAAATCGGAAGAATCCCAAAAATCAGCTGTTTCCCCCTTGATGAATATGCTGTTTGCTATAGCGTTATGATGGTGAAAAGCAGAATATATCAAACAAATTTTCGTTCATTTTCGATACTCCTCATTCGTGTTAAATGCTCTCCAGATGTTATTTTTCAATGTAAAATAGTGAATTTTGTGGAACAATTGTCTACTGAACAAAATGCTGAAAATATTATGTTAGTTATCAGATATATTCTAAATAAAAGATTTATTGTAAGTCTCATTTATTAGAATTTTTCCACTTTGACTTTGGAGTTTGAAAAGCTGCGAAGTAGCACATCTTGTTCAGCTTTCTCGCTCCTTCGACCGCCGACCTGTGATTTTTTCAGAATACTGTAAGGATTCTCCACTCGACTCTGGAAGGTAGAGATTTAGTTAGGTCTCATTCTCAGATTCTTTCTAGTCCTTTTTCTTTGCTTTACACTTAGTTAGATGTTAGTTAGTTTTTTTAAGAGTTAATCAGTTCTTTTTCTTTCGTAGATATATACATTCAGTTTTTCGTTCTAGACTATTTCTCCTTTATGTTTACTTTTTATTGTTTTCTCAATTTTCTTTTACTGTATACATACATATATAGATGAATCATAAGTATGTTCATAGTTTCATTCTAATTTTTTTTCTTCTCCACTTATACATACATAAATCTTTTAAGATGTCGGTCTGACTTGTTTTCATTATTTTTTTTTCGCTAATATATTCATATTGGCATTGGTATTCGTCTTCACACTCATTCACCATTCGTTAGTTATTACTGGTGGCCCCTCTTATCTCTTCGGTGAGTGACTTCATTCACCAGCAGACTTGGACAGACCTAGTTTCTAGAGTTTTCCTATTGTTTAAACTCATCGAGCTCACAGAGAGAACATTTAGCTTTGAAGAAAAGCTTTTACTCGTCACAAGAGGTTTTACTCTTATTTGAAAATGCTAAGTCAGATTGTTTGATTTTACTTGAAGTCGATGCTGTCGATCGCTCTTTTATTGCGCAGATCTCTGCTGGTTTTCGTTTCTTCTACCAGGTTGGCAAGAATAGTTGAGGAGTTTTGTTAGTTTTTCGCCGCAGAATCCAATGTTCACGGGTACCATGCAATATTCCTAATGTATGTGTCGTGGACGTAAAATCACATGGTGGGTGTTTATGCTCCCAAAAGCAAAACATGGCTATGGGATGATCTTGCTTTTTTGGTATCGTCGGACTGGTTTTTTTTTGGAGATTACAATATTGATTTCGAAGACCCGAAAGATAAGTCAGCAGCTGAAGAACTTTTAGACTGGGCAGATAACCTTCTGTTATATCCTGTTCTTACGAATAAATCTACCTCTCTACGCTCGGATCGTTCAACTGATTTTGTATTAGTTTCTGGACTACCTTTAGTACTTCAATGTTTGGGTTCTACTACCACGAGCGATCTTAAACTGGTCTGCGGAGTCGTAAGTTGTGAGCGAAAAGAGTTATCTTTTGGTTTTGGTAGTAATATTCACTGGGGGCTTTTTTATTATTTTCTATCTTTCGTTAGTGAGTTTTGGTCTAACCAATTTAAGTATTCGTCTGCGGAAGAAAGCTACTCTAACTTCGCCTTCTTTCTTTCTGCTCTGAAAATTCGTTGTACTTTTAATTTCCCCTTAGAAAAATATAGAGTCTCTATTCCCAACGAACTTCGGATGAAGCTTTCTTATGCTCAGGCGTTATCCGGGAAAGCGAAACGCAACGGTAATATGCTTTTGAAGGCTAGAGTTAAAGAATTACGTAAGGAAAACAGAGAAAGTCTTCGCAGATATCTAGACTCGTGATTGATTTAGTCGATGGATGTGCGTTTCACAAGCCCCAGAAATTCGGTGGCATTTTGGTCTAAATTGAGGAGAAACTTTAAAACAAGTTGTTCTTTAAAACCTTTTTTGTCAGATTCTGGCGAAGTTTATAATCAAACCGATGATATGCTACGTATGGCGGCGGATCATCATGAAAAATTATTTGAAGAGCCGGTCGTATACAGATCGCATCCATATAATGATTCAGTCGTGCCCAATTGGGACACCGCGAACGAAACAACTCCCCGATAACTCTTCCTGAGCTTATGAAAGCTGTATCCAAATGTAAAAAGAAAACTTTCCTTGATTCCCATGGAAATTCTTCCTATATGTTTCAATTTATCCCCCTTCCATACTGGATAGGTCTATTGAGAACCTTCAACGCTTCACTATCCACTTTTATCAGTCCTACATACTGGAAAGAAGTCAGAATGATATTGTTAGCTAGAAAAGAAGCCATTCGTTACCTTCAGATACCAGGCCCATCTCCCTTCTTGATATTTTTCTTAAAGTTTTGGAACGCCTGTTTGTTATCCGTTTCCAAAAGGTGTTAGAAAGCCGGGGTATTCTTCATAATTCTCAATCGGGCTTTCGATCTAATTTCCGTTTCCAAACTCGGGCCCTGCTCTTGATCGATCAAATCTCGTCACGCATGAGTAATAGCTCTCCCGTAGCAACTATTTTTGTGGATTTCAAACAAGCGTTTGACCAACTGTGGTGGAAAGATTGTCTCAGCAAATTGCGGCGTTTGGGTATTCCTACAGCCTTTGTCCAGTGGATTGAAATGTGGCTTAGCGGTAGAAGTGGTTTCATTGAGACAGAAGGAAAGAGGTCCCGTTCATTTTTAATTAAGCGTGGAGAACCCCAGGGTCCTTCCTTCACTCCTTGCCTTTTTATCACGTATAATTCAGATATGTGGAAACCACGTGAATAAAAATTGTTATTATTGTTGTTTCGTTTTGGTTGTTGCTTCTGAACGCAAATACAAATACAACTATTTTGTATGACTGTAGACTAAAGACATGTAAATGACAAAAAAAAAATGGCAGATTTAAGAAAGGTTTTGACATAATGAGTGTTATTCTGTTTTGAAAACTTTATCCCTTTTTCTAAAAAATATCATGAGCTAGTGCAGTTTTGCCCGGACTATCGAACGGGATATCTGAAGTTGAGTTTTGATTGCACGTAGCCAAAAAACTAACAATTTATTAAAAATTTGAGGTACTTCCAGTAAACTCCGTTTTCTCTCTTCAAGCTTAATTGTTTCTGACACTGTTTCTTTTTTATCGTGTAGCTGACACCTTGCTTCGTCGAATGATATGTAATAAAAGTGTTCAATTCAATTGGGAACATTAAAAAATACACGAAAACATGACCGTACGAACACCTGTGACACGTGAAAAACTCATCAATGTTAATTAATTATTATTTTTGATGGGAAAAAACTTGGTGTTAATACCAAGTATAATCCGAACATTGGGTTATAGAACGAGTAAAAAGAAATGTTTTCCTAGCTGTGTTCCTTCTCCACGGAAAAGTGTGTACATTATTCCCTTTGCTGTCATATAATCAATTCTGCCAATTCTGCCACTGTATGTGGATAACGAAGAGCGACATCTGCACTACATATCCCTCAATCCAAGAACTTCCATCTACCATTATCTGACCTTGGTAGCAGCCTTTCGGATACACCCACATTCGGCGATCTTCAGGTCGGACATTTTCAAATCAGATCAAAACAAAGGTTATCGACACACTCAATCTCGAGAAAATCTCAAATTACTGTGTCAAAAATATCACAGCGTTACTTTTGGACAGGGCGTAAAGTCGTTTTTATACAAACTTCTAGGAGAACACATTATTCAATATTCTTAAGCTTCAAATTCTTTCAAGATTCTTAACCAAGATTTGCAGTCGAAACAAGTACCAGTACAATAGTTGTACTGAACAAAAAGCCTTTTGAGATTCTTTTAAAATCCGCTTTTTATAGAGTAGGGATACATTATAATGATAGAACCCCATTAGATGCAATAAACCCAAAGTTCAATTGTTTTTCCAGTGGAGTCGTTTAGATCATAAAAGATAAACTAATGAATGTTGCTATATATTCCAGTGAATTTTTAGGCGTTAATGACGTTGCAACCGAGAGTATGGTAATCAACTTTAAACACAGAAATGAGTCGAGCTGTGAAAAGGGGAATAAAACGAGTTTAAATCATGAAATTCGGATTGCCTGTGTCAAAAAACCAACCTCCTGAAAATCTGAAGTCCACCCCGCACTGTTTTGACACGATGATTTTTCCCTAATTCTGAGTGGCGTCACGTTTCACGTGAAAAACGAATTTTAGATGCAAGAAGTCGTTTTTTTTGTATTCTTTCATTTTTAATCAGTGTCTTTTATTATTTGAAGCCTATTTACACCGTTCTTTTCAGAAAATGTACAGTTTCGGAAAAATTTTATTTTCCCGCCTAAAAGCTCTTTTCACTTTTTTTTTCTTATACGAAGGTGTATTGTTTTAACATGTGCTCAAAATCAGCCGGTGAAATTTTGCGCTTTCCGTCATTCCAAATTTCCTTCTTTCTGACCGAAATTGATCTTATCTAAAAAAGTATTTTTCAAGCGATGCACCTCAAACTTACCGCTGCGTCAGAAATCTGATACTTTCAGGGTCCATCGGCAGTAATGCAGTGTGATCGCAAAAATAATGTCGGAATTCGTTTTGTTTTAAAACTGCGTGTCCAGGTCTTGGCGATTGATTGGTGAGCACCGACGATCTGTAGCTAGCTTCGTTCTCGAGCTATTCGGGAGGTCTCTCCTCCCGTTGTTTTCCACCAGTTTGTAGAGCACAGTTTCAAGTATATATTCAGCAATTTTTTCAATTTCCGGATTTGTAGTTTTTCTTATCGATCTAGGCAAGAACCAAATTTTATGATGAAAGAGGAACGACCAGAAAATTTTTTAATAGTAGCCCTGTGCTCAAAAATTTAACATCATTTTTTTAAGTAATTAATTTTTTTCTCAGTCAAATTCTTTGAGAGCAGGATACAATCGAGAAAAATTGAACTTCACACCACATTACAAAATAAGTGCTTGTATAATTCTGAACACTTTTCTTTTAATGATGAAAAGTACCGTACAAAAGCTGTTATTAACAAGAGGACCTACGATGGTAGCATTAAAATTAGAGAACGGTAAAACTGGTTATTTCTCAGCGAAGTTTATTTTTGTTGAAAAAATAAATCTTTATAAAAAAAATTTTTATTTTCTATAACTTGAAACCTTACATTAATATAGTTACATGATAGTTACATTAATTCGAGCTTACCTGGTGAAATTCCAGATTTCAGCACGGAAAAGTAGAATCGGTACATGTATGCATCTTAGTTTTCTGTGGAAAAAACTCGGATTCCACTTTTATCCAGCGAAATCTAGAATTTCACTGCAGAAAAGTGGAATCGAGCATGTGCACGCACATGTATCTTAGTTTAACTCGCATTCCAGTTTTCGCTACAACATATACACACATCATCTATAGAAAAGAATGTTCGGCTTATAAAAGTCTTAATCCTTATAAAAAAACGCATGAATTTGATTGGAAGTGTTCATTATAAAAGCATATATGTTTCTTTTTTCTTTTTTTATGATTAATAGACTTCATGCAAATAAGAGGTATATTCACGTTGTTTTATTTTTTCTCTATTTGCATATAGTATCAAATAAGATATATCAGAATTTGTTTTCTGTATTGTACGATATATACAAATATTTTCTGTTATCGCCCATGCAGATGAAAAAAGTCGTTCGAGGGATGCGGCGAGTACTCGAAAATAGGCCCTCGCCGAGGGCTCGAACCCTCGGAAAATGGCACTTCGGACCCTCGATATAAGCTTTCGAGAAGTATCGATTTCGAGTCCTCGGATTTCAGACAGGTAGCGAACCGTCGAATAGAGATGTTCGAGACTACCGAGCCCTCGCTCACTCGAGGGTATGACGAGGGCTCGGAAGTAGCCCTCGAAAGCTTATATCGAGGGTCCGAAGTGCCATTTTCCGAGGGCTGGAGCTCCCTCAACGAAGGCTCATTGAAAGCATATTTCTGAGCACTCGAAGTACCCCTCGAACAACTGGTTGGGCGTTCACTGTGGGGAACACTGACGCAAAAGGAAAAGAAAACAGAAAATGCTCATACAGCAAACCAATTCTGATACAACTTATTTGATACGACTCTTATATATACATTTTATAAAAATCATATATATTATTCAACACGATATATATCGAAGGATCTTCACCATATATCCATATACCTGTATATCCGCATAACAAAAAAAATCAAACTCAAAGTTTCAGGATATGTCTAATTTGAGTCCGCGTGATATATGTATTCTGAATTTTAGAGGGTAACCAACCGTGTACTGTTTAACAATGTAGATGCTTTACCCAAATCTAATGTGAAACTAGACGGCTATGCGAGACTTACGAATGCGGTGCGAAGCAAATTACACGACTTATTGTTTTGAAAATGTGGCGAAAGCGAATGTGCGATAAACAATGATCATATATATATGCTTCCCTGCAAACCAAACTGTTTACAAAGTTGCTCAAGGTTTTTAATCCGGTTTCATTCATCTGTGATATTGATAATGAACTGACTGACACTGCAATGGTAATATGTGATAACCCACAAAACAATTCAGCAGTAACGTTTTTCGAGTTTATGGGCAAAGTTAAGAATAAAAATTTTAAAACCAATGCGGCTATCATGTTAAGAATTTTACAGTACAGTATTATCTCTCTCATATACTTCAATTTCATTCCCTCTTCAATAAATTTTTATCTTTACACGACTCGAAACTAGCGTTTTAAAATTTCTTTTTAATTCAACCCATTCTTTATAAGAAAATACAATGTACATTAACAAAATTCTCCATTCATAATCTTGTTCTCTTCCTTTCTTCTCTCCTTGTCATGCACATGTTTTTTCAACCTTTTTCTTGTAATGTGTGTGCCTAGATTAGAAAAAAACACTAGATATATATATATGATCAGTTATTTTTGTTTTCAACTTTATGTAACATCCTATACGATGAGAAACTTGAAAATGACCGTATTAATAGGTCGAAATATCGAATTATAATTTTAATGTTTTAGTTTTAATTGTTTAATTTTTATTATTTTTATTATTTGATTAGAACTTTTTATTAAAATTCTTAACATGATAGCCGCATTGGTTTTAAAATTTTTAATTCAGCAG